CGAAAACCCAGCTCGCACGTTCTTTCGAAAATAAAAACAAAAATTTTACTCTGATTTTCAAAGCTAGTAGTAAGGCGGGGTGTGACAGACGTGGTGTGTTTGAGAGAAAACAAAGAAAGAAAAATGAATGAATAATTAGGGTTTGTTCACAGGATGTTGCTATTTATACTTCAACCTATAAACAACCGTAAGTAAAGTTGCTTTACATCAATAAGCAACTTAACACAACACGTAATAACAACTATTAAAGAAACACTTTTACAAATATGAAATAACACTTTTACAAAATAGAATAGCAACTCTAATAATCGAAGAGAGGTGAAAGTTCGAAACAACCAATACCATGGAAAAGAATATAGAAGACACAATTGTGTTATTTTTTATTTGCAGGGGAAAAGACACAAGTTATAATTTTTATTTAACTTTTTATTTTTATTTTTCTGAAGAGGCGAGAGATTGTAGTTTTAGTGAAGAATTAAGCTAGACCATATTTGATATACATGTCTAATTAAGTGAAGGCAATTATCATGTTCAAAAATTATATACAATAATAATATTTTGTGAAATTAATAATAATAAATACAACACTTGTATACGAATACTTGAAAACAAGTTATGCTATCACAATAATCAACAACATTAACAAATCATTAAGAAATTGAATAATTTTTCTACCACGATTTTTATTAAAAAAAAATAATATTGGTCTTCTTTAACCACAATGAATTGTTATATACTTATTAGAAAAAGGAAGTAATTTAGTTGTGATGAAAGAAATATTAACAAAAATAAATATATTGATCCATACAGAAGATTTTAAGTATGCCAAATAGGATTATGAAGTCCTATAACCTACCATTTAGCTCAATTTTTTTGAAACTATTTCTAGAGGGAATTAACAATAAGTTATATTAATTCATGTCATATTCTAAAATATTGTAAGATATCCAAATTTTTGTTTCAAAATATCATTATTTTATCCCCTAATCATGTCCAACGGTATGCATAAAATTTTAATACTACTATTATGTGATACTCATATTGACCCATAGTTCAAACTAAAGTGAAGGTTTTATCAGAAAAGATGTCTTTCGCAGTTTCGTTTGGATGAGGAGGAACATATTTGGCTCTAAAATCATCTATTTTCAAAATGTCATGGATTTATTTCACCGTCTCTTTCGAACTTAAACCATCTCCAGTTGGCGTACAAACTTTCCTCATCTCCGAAAGGCAAGCCATTCGTGGGAAGTGCCTCTAAATTTCTTTTTGCATAAATAACCAACATCTTCTGCCTATATTTCTTTGCCATCTCATTAGCTTCAGAAAATACTTTCTGAAATAAATGGAAAAAAATAAGTCCAAGAACACACTTAACTTATGCAATATGAATACAAAAAAAAAAAAAATTAAAAAAAAAAAATGTACCTCTTTGTTGGACAAAAATAGACCAGGCTCACTTTCCAATTCTGCAGTACTGCATGTCCAATTTTACATTGATAATAAGTTGGACTATATTTATGCAAGCTCAGTGAGTTGAAATCCTCCACAAGAGGAAAAAGAAATATGCAACTAAGTTGCTGAATTCTTATTATGTGTTCTTCCTGACCAGTTGTATTGATTAACCATAAATAGACATTTACCTACCTAGATAATTTATTTTACAAGATACTTTGTCTTTTAAAATAACAAATACTGCTTAATATTTTATTTTGCATCACAAATGACTCTCCTTAACAGAAGCACTATGTATAATAACAGTAACATGTGAAATTATTGAACAAATTTTCTGGACCAGAAATGGAATTATGAGCTAAAACCGATTGTCTCTCAACTATAATTCCAAACAAGAAAAGTAAAACAGATTGCAAAACAATGTTGTAATCAAGGAACTAATCAACATACCTTAGAGAAATTTTATCAGGGATTGTAGACGGCACAACCAGAACTTTAACCTTTTCATCAACTTTCAGTAAGTCCCTGACAGAAGTAACTTTCCCTTTGGTTATGTTTGTAATATGCAACATCCCGCTGCAAAAAGATCCATAAATTCGCGATATGTTATCAAACTTGACTTGGCAAAAATAACAATGACAAATATAAGGCAAAAATGCATTTTTAGTCCTATTATTTTAACGCCATAGCAATTTTAGTCCTAAGGTTCTAACTTTTTGCCTTTTGGTCCTCTGATTTAATATATTAAATTATGTGACTGAAATTGCAACAAAATTTTAAATTATACGAATTAAATTGCTAATAAGAAATCTAAAAATTTGGAAATGCAATTTCAGTCCTCAAATGACTGAAAATGAAATTGCAGCAAAATATTAAATCACAGGACCAAAAGGAAAATGTTAGAATCTTGGGACTAGAATTACTATGGTGTCAAACCATCAGGACTAAAATGCAATTTAGCCTAAATATAATAACAACGTTGTTAATATAGATTTCTTACCTCCTATTAGTATCACCTATTTTTATTTGGGCTCCATATGGGAACACTGTCTTGACAGTACCTTCAAGAAGAGTTCCATGTTGAAGATTCATCATCTCCTATGACATAAATAAACATAAAGTTGTATTTTTCAAAGAAGAAAAGAAGTAAATAGCTCCAAGAGTTTGTTTGGGAAATCCAAAACGAACAAGAAATCCAACAACAACCGTGAGAACAATCAACAACTCTAAAGGGTTAAATGCAAAACATATCCCGAGGTTCAACCTAATTACAAAATGAAAAGCCAACTGTGATTCAAATTACGAAATAAGCTGTGCTTTATCTATGTCTCACAAGTAGAAAAACATTTCAAAATACTCCACATTTATATAAATATATTAGAGTAAGCCCCTTAATTCTAACACTCAATCAAACTTGAGTGTACAATTTTCATACAAGTAAAAAGT